ACAGTCTTTTCTTGTTAGTGAATGTCTCAGCAGTTCAGAAGTCTCTGCTTTTCATCTTTCCACCTTTTGCCAAATAGAAATGTTGTACAAAACCTTGTAAAATTTTGTTTTTCTTCCTGTAAACACCACTATCACCACATTGTGTTGCACACAGTAGACGTGTATTCCCCACCCTCTTAACTCCAAGAAAGTTGTGCTATCTTTCTGGTACTGACTTATCCATTGCCAGTGATACCTTTTGAACAATGTCTGGAATAAGGCTGCTAACTCCAGCTGGATATATTCATGAGATATCTGATTTGATTTGATTTATTGTCACGTGAACATGAGTACAGTGAAAAGCTTTGTTCGTGAGCAGTACAGGCAGATCATAGTAAGTAAGGACATACAGGTCATAGGGTGAATAATACTTGGACAGAGCTAGGCATATAAGTTACACTACACAGGATGCACATGAGGCAAGATTAACATTAACAAGATCAACACTATTTAAAATTAGAAAATCCATTCATTCGTCTAATAATGGTAGAGAAGAAGCTTATGTATCTTCTGCCTGTTGGAAGAGGTTTAGGAGAGCATTGCCAGCGTTGGATGGGTCTCTGATGATGTCAGCTTTTCTGCGGCAATGAGAGGTGTAAATGGAGTCCGTGGATGGGAGGTTGGCTTCCATGATGACCTGGGCTGTGCACACAACCATCTGTAGTTTCTTACAGTCCTGAGCAGAGCAGTTGCTGTACCAGGCCATTATGCACCCAGACAGTATGCTTTCTATACTGTATCTGTAAAAGACAGGCCAAATATCCCGAGACACCTGAGGAAGAAGAGGCGTTGTTGTGCCTTCTTGACTGTTGCATCTACGTGGGAAGTCCAAGACAGGCTGTCAGTTATCGTCGCTCTTAGGAACTCCACGCTGTCAACCCCCTCGACTTCTGCTCCAATGATATAAATAGGGGCGTGTCCTCCTCCTTGCTAACTGAAGTCAGTTCTTGTTTCACCAACATTGAGAGAGAGGTTATTATCATTGCATCATGTCACCAAGCCCTCTATCTCTTTTCTATATTCTGACTCTTTGGTGTTTGATATCCATCCTACCAAGGTGGTATTGTCAACGAGCTTGTAGATGGCATTCGTTCAGAATTTGGCTACACAGTTGGCGTACAAAGAGTACAGTAGGGGACTGAGAATGCATCCCTGGGGGGCTCCAGTGTTGAGTGTTATCGTGGAGAAGCTGCAGTTCACTGATGTTGGTCTGTGGGTCAGAAAGCTGAGGATCCAGTTGCAGATGGCAGAGCCAAGTCCTAGGTCTCAAAGTCTTGAGATCAGACTGGAGGGGATAGTGGTGTTGAAGGCAGAGCTGTAGTCGATAAGCAAGAGTCTGACGTCGGTGTCATTGTTATCCTGATGTTCCAGGGATGTGTGCAGGGCTAGGGAAATGATGTCCACTGTGGACCTGTTACATCAGTAGGCAAACTGCAGGGGATTGAGGCAGGTGGGACACTAGAGTTGACATAGGCCATGACCAGCCTCTCGAAGCAGTTTATGATTGTGAAGATCAGAGCCGCTGGGCGGTAGTTATTAAGGCATGTTGCATGGGCTTTCTTAGGTACTGGGATGATGGTGGTCTTCTTGAAGCAGGTGGGGACTTTAGCTTGGAGGAGAGAGAGGTTGAAGTTGTCAGTGAACACCTCTGCCAGCTGGTCCGCACAGGATCGAAGTGGACGACCAGGGACTCCAGCCAGGCCCATCGCTTTCCTTGGGTTGACTCCCAGGAAGACCACACTGACGTCTGCAGTGGTGACGGAGAGAACAGGTGTGTCCAGGGCTGTTGGGGCAGGTGACACTGCATCACCAGCATTCTGCTCGAACAGAGCATAGAAAGCATTGAGCGCATTAGGGAGGGATGTGTCTTTGTTCGCTATCTTGCTCGGCTTCATTTTGTATCCTGTTACGTTGTTTAGACCTTGCCACAGGCGGTGGGTATTTCTATGGTTGGTTTGGGCCTCTAACTTGCTCCGGTACTGCCTCTTGGCATCTCTGATGGTTTTGCAGAGATCATATCTTGATTTTCTCTAGAGGTCTGGGTCATCCGTCTTGAATGCTGCATGCCTGGTCTTCAGTAGGGAATGGATTTCCTGGTTCATCCAAAGTTTCCGGTTGGGAACACCTGGATTGCCTTTGGCAAGCAGTCCTCCACGCATTTGCTAATGAAATCCATGATGCTGGTAGTGTACTTATTTAGGTTTTCTGCTGAGTAATTAAATACCTTCCAGTCCACTGATTCCAAGCAGTCCCGCAGGCACTCTTCCACTGCCTGACATTCCTGATGCCATTCCTGGCTTACCTCCTTTAATTGTGCCTCCCCCAGCTTTCTGTCAAGAGTTATTCAATAAATTGACTGTTTAGTCCTACCATTGTATGCCTTTTTAAGGTGTCCCAATTTTTAGTTTTGGTCTCTTTAGTCACTCTACCACTATCACAAATTCTACAGCCTCACTATTGTAGGTTGAATTAGATTGTTCAAAACTTTTGCGTCCAGTTCTAGCCGAAGCTGTGTTTCCAACACCACCAGCTGTTTGCATCCTAAAGACCACATCAGACCAGGCACACCTGAGAGAATTCTTTGGAGGTACATTTACTTGAAATCTGTAGTCCAGGCTTCGAATTTCTTTGGGTGAGCTGCAAAAGCTGAAGAGCAGGTACACATGTAATGGCTCACGAATCATCAGTTCACTTTTTCAAAAGTTGACATGACCAACACTGGGAGAAAACTGAGAGCCAACATAACCTTCAGCTCTACGCTTCAGAGATAGTAGGAACTGCAGATGCTGGAGAATCCGAGACAACAAGGTGCAGGGCTGGATGAACACAGCAGGCCAAGCAGCATCATAGGAGCAGAGAGGCTGACGTTTCGGGCCTCGACCCTTCATCAGAAAAGGGGGGGGGGAGGGGGTTTTGAAATAAATAGGGAGAGAGTGGGAGGCGGATAGAAGAGGGATAGAGGAGAGGATAGGTGGAGAGGAAACAAACAGGTCGAAGAGGCGGGGATGGAGCCAGTAAAGGTGAGTGTAGGTAGGGAGTTAGGAAGGGGATAGGTCAGTCCAGGGAGGACGGACAGGTCAAGGGGGCGGGATGAGGTTGGTCGGTAGGAGATGGAGGTGCGGCTTGAGGTGGGAGGAGGGGATAGGTGGGAGGAAGAACAGGTTAGGGAGGCAGGGACGAGTTGGACTGGTTTTGGGATGCGGTGGGGGGAGGGGAGATTTTGAAACTTGTGAAATCCACATTGATACCATTGGGCTGCAGGGTTCCCAAGCGGAATATGAGTTGCTGTTCCTGCAACCTTCGGGTGGCATCGTTGTGGCACTGCAGGAGGCCCAGGATGGACATGTCGTCTGAGGAATGGGAGGGGGAGTTGAAATGGTTCGCGACTGGGAGGTGCAGTTGTTTGTTGCGAACCGAGCGTAAGTGTTCTGCAA